ACACACAGAGCAGGGCTGATCAGGGGGTTGGGGCGCCTTCCCCTTATACACGAACAGAGCAGGGTGGATAGGGAGGTAGTGGCCCCACCCCCTGTCACACACAGAGCCGCAGGGCGATCAGGGGGTTTGGGCGCTGCCCCCTGTCACGCTGCTCCAGGGGCCAGGAGGCCTCGTGGCTCCGCTGATCCCGGTGCTGGGAGGCCTCGCGGCTCCGCTGATCCCGGATTCGGGAGGCCTTGTGGCTCTGCTTGACACAGGGGCAGTGAGGCCTCGCTGCTCCGCTGATCCCAGTGCTGGGAGGCCTCGCGGCTCTGCTTGACACAGGGGCAGTGAGGCCTCGCTGCTCCGCTGATCCCAGTGCTGGGAGGCCTCGCGGCTCCGCTTGACACGGGCAGTGAGGCCTCGCTGCTCCGCTTATCCCGGATTCGGGAGGCCTTGTGGCTCTGCTGATCCCAGGCTGGGAGGCCTCTCGGCTCTGCTTGACACAGGGGCAGTGAGGCCTCGCTGCTCCGCTGATCCCAGTGCTGGGAGGCCTCGCGGCTCCGCTTGACACAGGGGCAGTGAGGCCTCGCTGCTCCGCTTATCCCGGATTCGGGAGGCCTTGTGGCTCCGCTGATCCCAGGCTGGGAGGCCTCGCTGCTCCGCTGATCCTGGTGCTGGGAGGCCTCGTGGCTCTGCTTGACACAGGGGCAGTGAGGCCTCGCTGCTCCACTGATCCCGGTGCTGGGAGGCATATTACCCTTTTACTATATAGGATAGAGGCCTGGTGCACGGGTGGGTGCCAGCTGGTTTGCCCTGAAGGGTGTCCTGTATCAGGGTGGGGGTCCCGCTTGGGTGCCTGGCCAGCCTGGGTGAGGGGATTATGGCTGTTTGCAGTTGGTCACACCCCCTTCAGGGTGGGAGTCCCCACTGGGGTGCCTGGCCAGCCTGGATGAGGGGATGATGGCTGTTTGCAGCTGGTCACACCCCCTTCAGGGTGGGGGTCCCCACTGGGGTGCCTGGCCAGTCTGGGTGAGGGGCTGAGGGCTGTTTTCAGGCTGGCGGGTGACTGAAGCTCCCAACCTCTCCTTTTTTCCTTTTTTTTTTTTTTTTTTTATTATTCTGGGATTTATTTACCTTCTATGGCTGTCACTGGAGCTGAGAGCTGGCTTTAGCTGTGAGACCTTGGCTGCTGAAAGCAGGTTTCTGGGCTTTGTTTACCTTCTGTATTTGAAACTTTGTTGCAACTCCAGCTCTGAGATCCCGGCAGGTTTCTGGGGTTTTGTTTAGCTTCTATATTTGTAACAATGTTTCTTAGAGAGCAGCTCAGAGCCCAGCAGTGGCAGGCAGGGAACCTTGGCTTCCTCCGTCAGTGGAGCAAGCAAGCCTCCTGTTCGCGTCAGTTGCCTGGCTGCCGGCCGCCATCTTGGTTGGCAGTTAATTTGCATATCACCCTGATTAGCCAATGGGAAGGGTAGCGAAGTTATGGCTAATCACCATGTTTCTCTTTTATTAGATAGGATGGCACAGAATTGTACTTTTTAAAATGGTAAATTTTATGTTAAAGAAAGAAGAAAAATTGGGGCTGGGGCTGGGGCTGCTGCTTGTTAAATGGGGTCAGGAGTACCAGCAGTTCCCATGTGGTTGGAGAATCTAGACCAGCCGTGGGCAAACTACAGCCCGCGGGCCGGATCCGGCCCTTTTGAAATGAATAAAACTAAAAAAAAAAAAGACTGTACCCTTTTATGTAATGATGTTTACTTTGAATTTATATTAGTTCACACAAACACTCCATCCATGCTTTTGTTCCGGCCCTCCGGTCCAGTTTAAGAACCCATTGTGGCCCTCGAGTCAAAAAGTTTGTCCACCCCTGATCTAGACATTGAGAGTAATTTCTGAACATGTTAGAAAAGGAGGTTATGATAAAAGGTTGGGGTATCTGATTATTGATTTGAGAAGTGATATTCCAGATAAAATCTGGAATGTGTAACCCTTAGGGAATTTGAGCTTGGGAGACAGCAAAATTCAAATTCTAGCCTTGTCATTTTTTTTTAGCCCTGTCATTTTATCATATAACTAAAGCTTTCTGAACTTTTGTCTGTTTTGTATTTGTTAAAAAACCTATAGTAATTAAGATTATTGATTGGTAAAAAACCCACAAACTAGAAGTGCTAACACATAGGTAGGAAACTTAAAATAACAAAAATAGAGGAGAAATATTTGAGGAAATAATAGAGATTGATTCTCCAGAATTAAAAAGAGATGAGAGATCTCATATTGAAAAGGCCCAAATAGGATACCAAATAGAGTTTAAAAAAAACACCTCCATCTAGACATATTATAGTGAAATTTAAGATTGTCAGAGAAAGAGAAAAGTCTAAAGCTTACCCAAGAGAATAAATAATATTATTAAGGAACAAGACTCAAATTGACAATACTCTTTTAAACAGCAATATAGACTACTAGAGGGCTGGTGCACGAAATTCATGAACGGGGTATGGGAAGGGGAAGGGTGTCCCCTCAGCCCGGCCTGCACCCTCTCGCAATCCGCGACCCTTTGGGGGATGTCCGACTGCCAGTTTAGGCCCGGGATTGGGCCTAAACTGGCAGTCGGACATCCCTCTCGCAATCTGGGACTGCTGGCTCCTAACTGCTCGCCTGCCTGCCTGCCTGATCGCCCCAAATCACTCGCCTGCCTGTCTGATCGCCCCTGACCATTCGCCTGCCTGCCTGATCGCCCCTAACCACTCTGCCTGATCAGCCCTAACTACCTCTGCCTTGGCCCCCGCTGCATGGCTTTGTCTGGAATGACGTCCGGCTATCTGGTCTAATTAGTATATTATGCTCTTATTATTATAGATAAGAAGATGATAGAGTAATATATTTTGAGTATTGAAAAGATTATTGAAAGAAAATAACTTTAAACCCTGAATTCAACCAACTGTTGTTCAAGTAGAAGAGCATGATTAAAATATTCTCCAATGTATTGAATATTAAAATATTCTCAAGATATTGAAGATCAGCCATACAGAGTCCAACAGGGGGAACATTTCTGAGGAAGAACGCAGATGAGTAGAGAAATCTAGCAGATCCTATTAGATGTGTAATGTACACATGTAAGATGTGTAAAGAATGACCAAGTACCAAAGTAAAGATTGTTGTCTAAAAAATGAGCCAGGTTAAAGAAAAGAAATAGAGGAAGTATATCAATAACACATGATGAAGATTGGGTAGAAGGGAGATCAGGGACATGAGGGCATGGTAAAGTTCTTGGCTTGATAAAAGGTAAAACATTTTAGTTACCAATAGAAAGAATGTAAAAAGAAGTTCAGAAAAAGCAATGGACAAATTGAAATAATAAAGTCAGTTAAAAGGCAGAGATTGATGACTTAAAAAAATCCAATATGTTTTTTTATAAGAAATAACCTAAATCATAATATAAAGTCATATAGGTGGAGGGGCATGGATCAGATGTATATGAAAATATCTGAAAATTGAGCATACTAACAAAGCATTTGCTTATGAGGGTGTTATATCTATCGATAGTTATATTAGAAATTAAAACTGAAAATTAAAAAAAACTTGTTTAAAAATAGCAATAATATAACCCCTTGTATGTTAACATAAGTAACATTTTAATGAAAAATAACTATTGTACTAAACAGCAAAGGAATTTAGTGGGAAGAATAATAGTATTTTATGCATTTTCGTAAATTTCTTTAACCATCTGATTTAATAAAACATACTTAGAGTCTGTTATCTGCTTTTGCATTCACTCTGTTGCAATATGTTGTTTTGATTGGGGTACATGAGGAGAATCCTAGGCCTTGTAGATCTTTTGAAACAGTCTGGGGAACCCTCGGGAGTCACACTTTGAAAATTGCTTTTTCTGTACAAATTTCTTTGCTATTGCCCCTCTTCCTCCAATTTGGTGTCTTCTGCATTGATTATAGTTTTCTCATTTTCTGTATTCCCTCCCACCTTCCATTTTTGTTTTTTATTTCCTACCTTACTTGTTATTCTTCTCCAGTTTCAGATTGATCTTCAAGTCTTCACTGATAATTCTAGTGTCTGTGACTATCTCTTCTTCAAAATTTATTGGCAAATATAGTTGGTTAACTGGAGGATATTTAAGTGTTATAAGTTTTCTTGTGTGTTTTCTCTTTCCAGTTATATTATAAAGCTCCTTTTTTTTTTTTTTTAAAAGCAGGGACTCTAAAAATTGACAAGACAAAGGAAGAGTTTCTCCTAGCACAGTGTTAGGTACAAAGTAATATTTGTTGGTTGATAGGAAGTAACATTCTCCAGGAGAGCACATAGAGATCACAAATTCTCTTGGTTTTAAATGTTTTTTTTTTTAGAAAACTATAGTATCTGCTACATGGTAATACTTTTGGTATTACAAATAATGGTTTCTTTTTTCTTTTTCTTTTAAGAGATCTTTATAACTAAAACCATCTTCAGTTTAGGCTTGTTGATACTGCAAGTCATTTTTTTTTATTGTTGATATTATTACAGATATCCCCCATTTTCCCTCCTTTGCTGCCCTCCACCCACACCCTACCCTCCCTGCAAGCTACTTACTGATTCATTTATTTTCTTTCCATTTCAGAAAAAAGCCAAAGGTCAAGAGCTGTTTGATCAGATTACATACCACTTGGATCTTATTGAAAGCGACTATTTCGGACTGAGATTTATGGATTCAGCACAAGTAGCAGTGAGTAGCTGTTTTTTGGAGGTTCCAATATGGGGGCAGAAATGGAAAATTTCAGATAATGTGCTAAGTGCTACAGGCTACTTTTTTTTTTAAGGCTACATATTCTTAATGTGCTCTTTTTCCCTTTGATTTCCTTCTTATTATGATATGCTTATTTTTTTTTTTTAAAAAAGTGAGTTCTAACCCTAACCCAAATTATTAGAGTATGATTTTTGTGGATGAGGATTGGAAATCTGTGTTTTTAATAACCAGTGGAGTTTGTTCTTGGGCATATTAGAATTGGAGAAGCACTGTGTAATGGAAAGAATGCCAGTTTTGTAGGTAAGAAGTTTCCAACTTGCAAATTTAAGGCGAGTGGACTAAGGTCCCTTCCAGATCTGTGATTATGGATCAATAAATAGATGGTCTTTGACATGTGCATTTCAAATGAGAGAACTGTATATGTAATAGGGTAGGAAGTTGGAGGCTTTTCAAAGAACCGAGTATTGTACTAGGATTTAACTGGAGGATATTTGGAAGAAAGTAGTAGGTAAGATTGAAAGGTGAATTAGTGATCTCATCCAAACTGAATACCAGAAGTGTTACATATGTTCATGTACCGCATAACGTGTCAGTGACAGACCACATATACCACAGTGGTTCCAAAAGATTACAATGGAGCTAAAAATTTCTATTGCCTAGTGATGTAGTAGTCCAGTGCTATGCTATTTTAAATAAATTTAGTGTTGCTGCCTAAGTATTCAGTGTTTACAAAATCTACAGTAGTATACAGACATATCCTATGCCTTCCCATTCACTCACCACTCATTCATTCACTGACTCACCTAGAGCAACTTTCAGTCCTGCAAGTTCCATTCATGCTAAGTGCCCTACACAGGTGTACCATTTTAAATTTTTTATGCTGTGTTTTACTGTGCCTTTTCTATGTTTGGATATGTTTAGGCACACACAATGTTTATTGAATTCATTTCTGGTCTACTACCTAGTCTGATGAAGGCTTGCTTGACTAGTTTAATATCATTCAGTCTTGCAATCAGATGAAAAAATAAATGCTTTTAGGGACATACAGTTTATAGTTCACTGTTTTTCGAGGAGTCAAGGGGGAAAGAGGTAGAAGTATGCCAATGTTAGGTTTCAGGCACTTAAAATATTTAAGTGCATGTGGAAAAAAATAGACATTCAGTCATTGCTAAGTTGTATTATTCACTCTTTGCTAATATCAGCAATTATTGAATTCTAAATCCCCAAATGATTATTTTTTCCTTTTATTTGATACATATCAAAGGGGAAATGCCTTTCTTGCCTTTTCGTTCTCTACTCTTTAGTTCTAGTTTATCCCTTCTAATACCCAGAAATCTAGGCATTAAGATTAAATTTATGTAGGCTTACTTATTTTCTGTCTTTGCTGTCACTAAAATACTCTAAACCAGCAATTTTTAACCCTTTTCATTGCATGACATGCAGACTAATTACTAAAATTCTGCAGCACACCAAAAAATATATTTTTACTATTCTGGCAAAAACAAAATAGGTGTAATTTTGATTCATTCACACTAGACGACTATTGTTGTATTGGCTGTTGTCGTTTTTTAAATTTTACAATCTCAGGGAAAAGAGGTCAGTGCCCCTGACTTAAATAATCAGGTATTGTGTCTTAAAAATTCTTGTGGCACATCAGTTGAAAATCACTGCTCTAAACTATGTGAATTGAGCTGAAAGAACAATAATTGGTAGATGAGAACTATTAAAAATAAATTCTAGATAGTACTTTAAATATTCTTAAAGTGCTAAATCACTTGATTTCATAACTATTCTATATAAGAAAAGCCTAATATGCAAATTGTCCCTTCGATTGGAGGTTCGACCTAGGGGGTGAGGCCAACTGTCCACAGCCCCTCCTCCCAGACGGCCCGGCCTGCAGCGGTGGCAGGCAACTGGGGGAAGGAAGGCCCTGCCGGCAGCCAGCAGCCGCTAGGGACCCTACTGTGTACGAATTTTGTGCACTGGGCCTCTAGTTGAAAATAAGCTCTAGCCCTCACTTGATTCCATAACTATTAAAAATAAACTCTAGCCCTGACTGGATAGAGTGTCCGCCCATGTACTAAAGGATCCTGGGTTTGAAGGGCCCTCAGTTAGATTTTGGTTGAGAACACGTACCTTGGTTGCAGGCTTAATCCCCAGCCCTGGTTGGGGCATGTGTGGGAGGCAACCAATCGATGTGTCTCTCACATAGATGTTTCTTGTTCTCTCTCTCTCTGTTTTGCACCCTCCCTTCTACTCTATCTAAAAATCAATGGAAAAATATCCTTGGGTGAGGATTAACAAAAAACAAACAAAAAGACCCCTCTAGATGACACTTTAAGTGCTAACTCACTTGGTTCTATGACAGTCTTAATGACATTAAATAAACGTAGAGAAGACTGTTAGTTATTTGTTGTGTGGCCAGTTTTAACTCCAGCATGAAACAAAATTGAAATTTATAAAACACTTCAATTTTTTGGTGAAAATAGTGAACATAATGATAGCTCAAGTGGATTTTTTGGCCAGGATCATTTATGTAAACACAATGATTTTCATATTTCTTTGTCATATTTATTGTGTCGACAAAACTGTAGAATCAAAAGGGAGTTAGGCAGTTGTAAATTACACTGCTAGGAACATAGGGGTGCATATATCCTTTCTGACTGGTGTTTTGGGTTTCTTAGGTTATATTCCTAGAAGTGGGGTTACTGGGTCAAATGGCAGTTCCATTTTTAATTTTTTGAGGAAACTCCATACTATTTTCCGCAGTGGCTGCACCAGTCTGCATTCCCCCCAGCAGTGTACTAACTTCCCTTTTCTCCACATCCTTGCCAACACTTGTCGTTTGTTGATTTGTTGATGATAGCCATTCTGATAGGTGTGAGGTGGTATCAGGATGTTGGCAAGGATGTAGTGTCTTTTTGATTTGCATCTCTTGGATGATTAGTGACTTTGAGCATTTTTTAATATGTCTCTTGGCCATCTGTATGTTCACTTTGGAGAAGTGTCTATTTAGGTCCTTTGCCCATTTTGTGATGGGATTGTTTGTCTTCCTTTTGTTGTATGAGTTTCCTATATATTTAGGAGATTAATCCCTTAGCAGATGTATCATTGCCAAATATGTTCTCCCATACAATGGGCTCCCTTTTTGTTTTGTTGATGGTTTCTTTTGCAGTGCAGAAGCTTTTTATTTTGATGTAGTCCCGTTTATTTTCTCCTTAGTTTCCATTGTCCTAGGAGATGTATTGGTAAACATACTGCTACGAGAGATGTCTGAGATTTTGCTGTCTATGGTTTCCTCTAGGACTTTTATGGTTTCACGTCTTACATTTAAGTATTTTATCTATGTTGAGTTTATTCTTGTGTATGGTGTAAGTTGGTGGTCTAGTTTCATTATTTTGCATGTATCTGTCCAATTCTTCCAACACCATCTATTAAAGAGACTGTCTTACTCCATTGTATGCTCTTGCCTCCTTTGTCAAATATTAATTGAGCATAATCGCTTGGGTTGATTTCTGGGTTCTTTGTTCTGTTCCATTGTTCTATATGCCTGTTCTTGTGCCAGTACCAGGCTGTTTTGAGCACAATGAATTTGTAGTATAACTTGATATCTGGAATTGTGATTCCTCCAACTTTGTTCTTCTTGAGATTGCTGCAGGGGTCTTTTTTGGTTTTATATACATTTTTGGAATGTTTGTTCTAAGTTTGTGAAATATGCTGTTGGTATTTTAATAGGGATTGCATTGAATCTGTAGATTGCTTTGAGGAGTAAGGATAATTTAATGTTAATTCTACCAATCCATAAACATGATATATTCTTCCACTTGTTTATATCTTCCTCTGTCTCTTTTTTCTACGTTCTGCAGTTTTTGGAGTACAGGTCTTTTACCTCTTTGGCTAAGTTTATTCCTAAGTATCTTAATTTTTTGGTTGCAGTGGTAAATGGGATTGTTTTTTTAGTTTCTCTTTTTGAGAGTTCACTATTATGTATAAAAATGCTATGGATTTTGGGGTGTTATTTTTGTATTCTGCTGCTTTTCCGAATTCGTTTATTAAGTCTAGTAGTTTTTTGATGGAGTCTTTAGGGTTTTCTATGTACAGTATCATGTCATCTGGGAATAATGAGAGTTTTAGTTCCTCCTTTCCAATTTGGATGCCTTTTGTTTCTTCTTGTCTGATTGGAAGTGAGTACTATGTTGAACAAGAGTGGGGAAAGCGGACATCCCTGTCTTGCTCCTGTTCTTAGGGGTAATGGTTTTAGTTTTTGCCCATTGACTATGATGTTGGCTGTATGTTTGTCATATATGGCCTTTATTATGTTGAGGTATGAGCCCTCTATTCTAACTTTGCTGAGAGTTTTTATCAAAAAAGGGTGTTGGATTTTGTCGAATGCTTTTTCTGCATCAGTTGATATGATCATGTGATTTTGGTTTTGCAATCTGTTTGTCAATATAACATTTATTGATTTGCAAATATTGTACCAGACTTGCATCCCCAGAATAAATCCCACTTGGTTATAATGTATGATCTATTTAATGTATTGCAGGATCTGATTTGCTAAAATTTTCTTGAGGATTTTAGCGTCTATGTTCATTAGGGATGTTGGCCTGTTGTTCTCTTTCTTTGTAGTGTCTTTATCTGGTTTTGGAATTAGGGTAATGCTGGCCTCTTAGGAAGAGTTTGGAAGTGTTCTTTTCTCTTGAATTTTTTGGAATAGTTTGAGGAGAATAGGTGTTCTTCTTTGAGTATTTGGTAAAACTCCTCTATGAACCCATCTGGACCAGGGCTTTTGTTGCCTAGGGATTTTTTGATTATTGCTTCAATTCCATCAGTAGTTATTGGCCTATTCAGGTTTTCTGATTCTTCCTGATTGAGTTTTGGAAGGTTGTATTTTTCTAGGAATATGTCCATTTTGTCCAGGCTGTCCCATTTGTTGGAATAAAGTAGTTCATGATTTTTTTTTACGATCCGTTGTATTT